TACATATTAATTGGCATTCGTAGATCATGGTGGGCTTAGCAAGTGGGTATTCACAGATGAAAGTATTGTTGCATATGTTGCCAGCACCCTAAAAATTCAAAGTGAAAGTGGTATATGTACACACTGGTATACACATACTGAAAACAACTATCTATTTAATATAATGGCAACTTTGATTTTACTTTGAACTTATGAGTGTTTGTCAAAAGCATCAAAGTTCAAAAGCAACACAAAATTGGCTGAACAATACGAAATACGCCCACTGAAATATGAAGATCTAGTACATGTACATGTCTACATTTAGTTTTCTTTTGAACATGAACTAATTGCGTTTTAAACTTAAACTATTCAGTCAATATACACGTATTCTCACCTGCTAATACCAAAGGATGTCCGTATTATTTGATTCATTGATGTGATGATCTTCGTCGTGAAATAATCATGAAAATTGACGTTCAGATTTCGGATCACCGTCATGTTGTTTGTTTACTCCTACCATAGCGGAAACACGTGGTTATTTCAATTCGTATCAACTCATACAGTGATGAGTCGTATTTATTTATAAATGCGAATTCTTGTTTTGTTAAATTTCGTGCTAATATAGATCTAATTAATTTGCAAATTAAGTATACAATATAACAAGATACAACTATATTAAAATCTGATTTTTTTTAGTAAAGATCGACGTTTAGGGAATCTACAATTTTTCTCAACATTGTACATCACTACATGAAATTTTCATCATTACATGTGGATGAATAAATTGACATTTCATTTCACACAAAAGGCAGAACGATAGTAAATATTTGTTTTTTTAAATGTATTTTTGTATTATGCATTTATTTCAGTAAAAAATATATATTTAAATCAATGGTCAAAAAAGTCTTATAAAAGAATTTGTTGTTTCGAGTAAGACGCAACAATATCGACCTTGACGTTACATGGTAAATATTGACCGATTTTTCCATAAAAACAATGCGAAGGTCACAAATTCAAATTATCGTAATTAAGAAAATACTGAGCGTAAGAAGGCCTGTAAGGGCTTGTTGGAAAGGAAATTTTCTCCACTTTTACCAGCTTTATTTTGTTTTCCCTATTTCAACACAGAAATAAACGTAAAACTGAGCTTTGTTTAAACATTACGAATAAAACCGAGAAAAAGCACATAAGTGCAAGAAAATTCTTGTTTTTAAAATATACCTTAAAGTAATAACAATAATTTTTACATATTTTAAAAGTAGAGAAAATATGCTTTAAGAATATACCATGCTTTCTTCATAAAGTTAAACAGGAAAAAATTGTCAATCGTCTGGAAAATCGGCAATCGCTTTGGAAAATTACGCCATTTTCAAAAAGTCACGTTTGTCTTCACAACGTAAAATCGATTAAATACCGGCAATCAAGACATAATCTTTTTAGATATTTTAAAAGTAGAGAAAATTTCCAAAAAGATGATATATAGTTTATATACCTTCATGCTTCCATTAAATAGATACGGAGATCTTATTTTCGCGAAGTCGTGTTTTAACGCGCCACCGGTCAATTTGACCGGTACGGAAGTGAAGGGGTTAAGATTATATAGAAGAATAACCACAATTCGTGAAAATTATGTCTCGCTAATAAAGAGTCAATGACTCTCTCGCGAAAATAAGGTGTCGCGAAAATATAGTGATCTACAGTATTTAAAATCAATGAAACATGTAAGTATATAATCTTCATCGATATGTTTACATGTGAACGTATCTAAATATAAAATGGTAGTATAGAAAGGATAAAAATTGTCACCGAATTCTAATTTTTATTTCAGGATGAAATAGATAAAAATAGAACTTTGACAATGATAAAAAAAATATCTAGATAAACAGACGTGTATTTTTAGAAATTTTAGTCTAGATATAGCAGATTATGTATACGAGAAAGGAGTTTTTATGATAACCCTAAATTAAGGTCAAATTAGGCTATGATAACTAAATTAAAAATCATGTGATCTAATTGATATGATATGATGTGTTGTCTAAATTTTATAAGATATTTTTTCTGTAAACATTCTATAATAATTATAAGGCGAGATTCGTTCCTTTAACCTGCGTATATCACATCATATATGTATGAAATGCTTCTTAAAAGAAATATAGTTCCTGCTTATAATTATATTTGTTTTTGCCTTTAAAAGGCATATAGAAACATATTCATATGATCAATAAAGTTAGTTTAAAGAGCTTCACAAAGGTTTGTCCCTTTGAAGACGGGGCTCTTAGATATTTTTTTTAGAAGTTATTGAATATCTTCATCTTGAAAACCTCTAGAGAATATGGATACATAATTGGAATGAAATGACAAGGAAATAAATATTCTCATCCCTTACTGTAGCATCTTCGCTAGCCAAGGGTTTCTGATACGCTTACTCTACTCATGAAACCTTGCCATACGGTTAAGTCAAAAGACGGGATTGTTAAATTGTTAAATTAAAATTAAATCAATTTTTTTTATCAATAATAAAGAAGGAATAATTGAGTTATCTTTATTTATTATTTATAGTTCAAACTAAGCTTCAATATAGATTCTTAATCACATATTTAGAAGATATTGGAAGACACCATAGCTATTCATAAAATTGCAAGTTATCTTACGGATCGTTGTTTACTTGCATTTTTCATTTCTGAGATTAAAGAGTCAAGAAATATCCCAAACGCAAAAATCCTCATTTACAAAAACAATTGCTGATTGGTCAACTAGGTGCACTGAATCCCAATCAGAACTCGAGAAAAAAAACCCAACTTCTATCAACACCGTATGCCAAGGGATTATGAGGAGAGTAGCGTATCAGAAACCCTTGGCTAGCGAAGATGTTACTTTAGAGAAAAACAGATGCAGTATTCTGATAGAAGAGTTGAGAGCAGATTACACTGGTAATGACCAGTTAACTGTACCAAACAGTATTAAGCATATGGATTTGGAAAAAAAGTCCATTTTCGGATTAAGTGATACATAAAAAGGCGTAGAAAATATACTTTTACTCAAGTTAGTGATTCATTTTATTCACACATATCCGAAAATATGATCTGCTCATGTATGTAAAAATGGTCGTTTGAATGAAGCATAACGTAATTTTTGTAGAAACTAGAATGCCACAGATCACTATTGGGAGATACAATTGCTTTGGTTACATTGTGCTCACCAGAAGAGATGAGATGGTGACAATGTAATAAACTGTCCAACTTATATTTCATATCTTGTAACGAGATTATTTCATGAGATTACATCTAGTCACCAATCAACTCTTCAACCAAAATTTGGCATGAGAATTAAATGAGTTATGGTGGTAGTTTGATGAAATACTTTTGGAAAAATGACAGAAAGCTATTGCCTTATAACATTGTTCTCTTCTGAATAACGATCTTGAGGTTAAATTTGGTGTTACATGAATTATATCAATTCACTATAATGTTCAAATCAAAATTGATCTTTGACCAGATAATACTAGTACTCAGTATTAGAATAAAGTTGTAATGAACAACTGGCAATCATTAAAATCAGAGTTTAGAGTCCACTGTACACATCCGGTTCATTATTTAGATGTCTCTCTTTAATATAATATCAACGTTGCATAAAATTATTTCTGCAAGCTCAAATAATGAAGGATTATGTCATACAAATATAAACATTATTCCATTTTTTGTAAATATTATTAAGTATTTATAAACAAAGTACACTCTTACCATTGGTCATGAATAAATAAACTCAGTAAGAGATTTTCAGTTCTTATTGCAATATGTAAGTTTGATATTTTTGGAATATTTGATTTACCTTTTCTATAAACAGATTTTTTTTTCAAAATTGATGCTAAACTATTCAAAAATTTGTTAATAAGCAATAAAACCTTTAATATGACTATTTTTGACGAGATCAATTATTTGAAATTTAGTGAAAAAAGGTCATCGTTGCCTTGTCTACTTAATCAGAAATACGTAAAAGTATTGACCATTCCGAACTAAAGAATGTAAACATCAATATTGGGCTTTATCGAATTTAGCTATGGATATTTTTACTAGAGTTATAAATCTATTAATCCTTTTACTTTGGAATATGTTTGTTTCCCTCCCTTTATTAGTGTTCAATTTATATAATCGTCAAAACTTGTCAGGTCTCTTGTAATGGTAAAACAGGATATTATTGTTTGCTAATCATTCTAATTATGAACTATCAATTCTTCGTGAAAACTATTTTCAAAGTAACGAAGTGTTCTTATAAAAATAAATTAATGCTTACTTTCAATAGCAGTTTCCTTGACTAAGCATAATTTAGCATCAATGCTGAAAATATAATTGTCATTGTTACATAATACTAAATGATTTTGCATTCTTTAGATCTCTGATCAAAAAGAACAATAAAACAGAAAAGGAAATTACTGCAAATAAATTCTGCATAAGTACTGCTTCTTTTTTTCATGAACAAAATCTGAAGCAAGAATTATCTATGAAAAACCTCTTTTTTGCAAACTTCTTTGCTAAATTATATATTTTTTTTAGAATGACATACAAGTCGAGATTAATTTCCCCTTCCACTTTCAGTGATACCTAGGGTCAAAAACAAAGAAATCGATGACAATTACCTGTGAAGGGTCCAAGTAAGATCGGTTTGTAATTTCTGTGACTTTTATGAAAGTGTAAATTAAAGCTTTTAAACGTTGTGCTTAAATTCGAAAATTTTGTGCTTTTTAAAGTTTGGCTTCATTTGGTGTAAGAAAGAATCCATTGATGAATGTCCTATAAGTATTCACCAAATCGAAAAAAAATCATATTCCCCGAGGAATTTTTTTGGGTGTAAATAGATCTTCACATTTCCTCCATTACCATGCAATAAATGTAAATCGATAGTCCAAAATTATTTTATGGATATTCTTAATGAACATTAATCCTTCAATTTTTTCTTAACGCTAACAACAAAATGGGTCGAAATTTTTGTTACGCAATAATACAATAAAAGTTTTATTTTCATACCTTCACTGAGAATTGTAACTCGTCAGTGAAATGGCTCACTCTCTCTATTGAGGGTTCTGTACATGACTTGTGATACTGACAGATGATGACTTGTTTCCACAGGAAAAACTGTTAATGAGAAAAAAGGGAAATTTTTATATGAACTGGATCTATTTTTCCTCCAGAGAAGTTGAAAGATGTTTATAAGACATGTGACGAAAATTGAAGACATTTGCCAATCTGTTGGTCAATTAAAGATGATCATTTTTTGCCCTTTCAAATGCTGCAAAAACTGTCAAGTTTAAGAAGGCATATAGTGTTACTGGTACTTAAACTTTTACTAATGTGACTTTAATGCAGCACTTCTGGTGAAATGTTGACAGTAAGACTGCCATAGAACCAGTCATATTTGATTAACCTGTACTTGTATGGTAAACGGTCACTTGTCTTTGAATTCCTGTCAACATTTTATGCAAGGTTAACATTTAAACCAGTGGTAGGTTATAAGAAAAAATGAAGTTTTCTTTACATTTCTTGGTCAGATTTCAATCCAGTTATTCATCAACATTCACCAAGGCTTGCAAGTGAAAAAAGGGTTTCCTAAAGGACTTATTTTTAATTATACGTCTGCTTTTATCTTCCCTTTGCAAGCCTTTGCTGAAATAATGCCCGTCACCACTGAAAAATTCAACTGGATTTGAAAGACATGCTATTTTTGGCATTTAAAGTAAATTTACGTACCGGAACTGTATTATATATTATATATTTATTTTTTAATTTTTCTAGCGCTAGCAGAAATAGAATAGTTTGATAGTTAATTTAAATTATAATCATATTGTTCTTTAACTTTACTTACTATAAATTTAGATGAAGTCAAACCCGTTTCCTTTGAATTGACTAGTATCTTTTTTTTATAATATGGCATGGAGACTATGAAAATTACACCACCACAATATTACAAATACAATGAGAACGTACTTACACTAATCAACAAAAGGAAGGAACGAAATATTATTAAATCAAACGATTAACTGCTTTCAAATTGAACATTTATTCTTCTTCCTTTCATCACCAATACCCTATCTTTTTAAAATCTGAGAGGTTTTAACAGCTGTAGAATTCCTGCATTACATTGTTTGTGTATATTTCAATCATCAAAGATATATATGTCTACCTGTTAGTAAGAATTATGTTAAGAGTTGTAAGTAATCTCCTGATTGCCTGTTTCTCTCTTTTTTTCGGAATCTCGTTAGGGTTTTTTCTTGAAGCGAATTAAATCTTATTTATTAGATGAATTCTTGTAAATGTGTTAACGCTGCCTGGATCACACACTTGGATGGATGAACGCTAACGGTGCCCCTTTTCATTACATCGAAACAATTTCTGTTAATCAAATTTTCTAGTGATATTTCAGAAATCTGATTCAATACAAAAATACTAAAAATATTATGAACTTGATACATAGCAAACGAATTTTCAAAGTGACACTTGTTGGTATTTTTTAAAAGTTTAGCATGACCAGAAAATAGATTATGAAACAATGTTTTCTGGTCTCACAAAAGCAGAGATAAACAGGGGAGGTTTTAAAGTATAATTTTAAAAAGTAATATATAAACAATATTAATGCAACAAGTTCTGGTCAAAGTTTTCCTTCGAAAAGCACTACTCTCTTATGATTGTAATGAAAACGAACGGACAATGTTATAGATTTGTTTAAAGAAAAATGGCAAGATCCAAATCTTAACCCGAATTGCCTAGGTTTTTTTTAAATTTAAATTGAATCTCGGGACTTTGCATGTAGTCGTTCTATATATGATTGACTTTGGCAACAATATAAACCTGCCTCACTGCATATATTGTCGTCTATCGGTATGTATTGTCACAGGTAGCTGCAGATCTGTAGCGTTATGGTTTTATATATTTGTCTTTGGTCTTTGACCAAATAAAACCATAACGCTACAGATCTACAGCTATGTCACAAGCTGGTTTTATATAATGTTGTGAGCGACAATGCAATACCTATTTACTGCAAATATTTCCCTCGAAGGTAAAGTTTTTTTTATATATTCTCCTTATTATGCCTTTAATTTTCCTTTTCAAAGAGGGCTACTTGTCTGCTGAATTGATTTCTGTCCGATGTTTTTTGGTCATATTTTGATTTACACATGTACTGTTTGAGTCTATAATCATTATACAGTGCATTACTGTGTATTACTTTTGGACTTGTTCCAGCAGGCTTGAACATTACATTACTGAGTAAACTGGATGATTGTTTGTATGTATTGTACCAAAAATGAACTTTATATGATGTTAAATGAAATAAAGGCTATACTTTTTTATCAATTACTCTTGAACATGTATATGCGATAATCTTGTTGTTTTTATGTTAAATAGAATATAATTTTCTAATTCAATATATTGGTATTCATATAAGAAAGTGTTATTTACATTCAAAATCTAATGATTCATAATCAATAATCTTGTTATTTTTATGCCATATTCCTAGAACTCTGTTTATCCTTTATATGTAATATAAATCGTAAGATAATTGAATATGAGTTATATGTCTTTTACATATAAATGACAAGTGTTTGAAATATGATGAATAATTATTCACTTTTAGTGCTGAATTTACATATTAATCACCAGAAAATGTCATATAAACCAAATATTTTTTGTATAAAGACTGTTGCAAGTCATTCGAAAAGCTTTTGCTAGTTAAATACAAAAGTTTTTATTAGGTGATTATTTGAATATTAATTCAAAAAAGATTTTGAAAATTAATCATATTGAATATGAAAATCATTTTTTCGAATATGATTCACAAGATTTCAATAAAAGAAATAACTAGTGTAAGAATATTGATATTCTAATTCAAGATTCTACATATAAATCAAAGATAACAGATATTTAACACTCGAAAAATACATGAACATACCGATAGACGACCATAAATCATGGCGAGTACATAATGTCGAAGAGATATGTGTACTTAGTCACAAAATGTACCGTCACAAATCTCATTAAGAAATGTATGTCGAGCTCTTCATGACAGATAACCGTAATTTATAAAACAGCTTGCTTGTACACAAACTGCAGATCCAGGCGTTAAACTTCCACTTCTACGACAATCCAATATTTCATACTTCTAAATACAAATTTGAACATACTATTGATCTTCGACTTCATTGACAAAAAGTCTTAATATATTCACAACTCCATAACGCTTTTCTTAGATATGAGAAAAATTCATAAAAATAAAATAAAAGTATTGCAAGGGTTTCTTTGAACAGTATAAATAATTTATCAATAGATCAAGCTAGAAGAAGAGATTTGATGAAATTAATTATATGTAGTAGTTCATACTGACCTGTTCATGTTACTCCGTGTAAAAACTAAATCAACAAAAACTATAAACCCAATTCCTTCCAACAAATACTTAAACAACACGGAAATAATCGAGTGAAATATAATCAAAGAAAATTGCCTTATACTGAAAGTATCTTTTTTGGCAATAAAAGTGTAGGGATTAAGTTTCCTCAATCAAATAAAACTATCACTCTATCAGCTGACACGATTATATCTCGTACTGAATAATCTACAATTAGATTCCCTCTCAGATAACATCAACATAAAACTATCTCATCAAGTATGGCGGGTATAAAAAGAAGGCCCCAGTAACAGAGGTTGTTTAAATACATTTGAGTTTGCTGAGTACCTAGAAAAATGATACATTATATATTTAGACCCTGTCAGCGATTTAATTCATTGTTTGATTAAAAACTGTTGAAATCTCTACACCGAAGTATTGAATCCGTAATATATTTTACACCTCTTTTAAAAGGAAGCTCTTGAAATAATTTTTAAAACCCAAAATTATTACTTTTCTTTTGAAAGAAATCTGATTATTTTATTTTATGTATCTATTTGAAAGAATGAAGAATGCTCCAGAAATCATTTCTTTGTGATAATGCATAGCCCATTAAAATTATACTCATGCATGAAATTATTATAGTTTACGGTCTCAAAGAAGATCAAACCCCTCCCAAACCCTTACCCCTACCTCCTTAGTAGAGACTTGACAACAGTATTTTTACTGTGTACTAGCAGAAAAAAGGAAGAAAAAATTCGACACCCTTCATCGTTAAAAGGAAATATAAAAACATGGCAAAATATTCCGTGATCACATGCAAATTGATTGACAAATACTTACCACTTTTATGATTTTTGATCCAAAAATAGTCTTTCTTCCTTCATCTCATAAAACGAACTGAACTATGAAAATATCAAAGATCAATCCATCCACTCGTTCATTAATTCCATTCTTTAGTTTTCCCATACAGATCATATAACGAGATCCCTCCTAATAATTGTACTCACAGAAAAACAGAACACTATAAAAACAATTACATCGTTCAAACACCAGACAGACCTTGTCAATTAGTGGGTGCAGGACTAAAGTATTGGAATGCTACGAGGGTTGAATACTTCTTTTCTATTTTGCGGTGGCTCTTGAAAGAGGACCGAGTATAAGGACTTTGTTAAACCAACAGTAGTCGTAGAGGGTTAATATTTGACTTTTATCACAAACAAAAACTGTCAAACCCTCGTCCAGCATTTGTCGGTGGAAAATCGAACGGCTAGCACACGTGTATAATAGAAAAGAGGGCTTTTGGAGTCGCTATTATCAAAATGAATAATGTTTTTCGAGTATTAACTTGCTAATAGAAAATATTTTCGCCGTTTTTCCCAAGGATTTGAGTGTTCTGTTGCATCAATAATACATAACTTGAGGGTGTTTGTATTTTGGGTTTGTTTTTTATAGGGTACATTTAAGTTAGACATTTTTGAGGGTACACGCAGTTCAACTGAGGGAATGTTTTTTTTTTTTCCTTTCAAAATGAACATTTGCACTGCTTTAATAACTTGATTCATATGAAATATATAAACGATATAAGAGTGAATTTAAATTCACGAGACATTTAACTTATATGTGAACCTCTTATCAACTGAAGTACCTACAAAAACGTTTTAAATGATGATTCTTCAAAGTCTAAATAAACAAAACAAAGATAAGTAATATTAATAGCAGAGATGAGATGTACTTCTACAAACAGATGCCATGGGGA